TTCAGAGTGCAGGAGCACAGACAGGAGCAGTTCTCTCTGTGCTCTGAAGATGCCAGTCACAGGTGCTGGTGAAACGTTAGGAAACAAAACTTCCAGAACAAGGCCACACAGCCCGGAAGACCCACACCAGCCATACCATCGGTAATTTCATAGATTTTCATCTTAATAGGAATACTTTGGGAGATTTTCGAATCTATTTTAGGACACGTGGCAATCTTTAAGTCAATTTAAATGTGCCTGTTGTGAATGGGTTCATGTGCCGTTACCCAAAGAAAAACCACTTTTACCCAGTTTGGGGTAATTTACCCAGGTTTGGAAAGCACTGTTCTAAGCCTTACCTCTGCTGGCTGCTTCATGAGTTGGCGAAGGGAGACATGTCTCCCATTTAATTTTTGCACCATATTCCAACAAAACTTGTACACAAGATGCACTTCCTCTTGAGCAGGCATTGAATAAAGGTGTTATCCCATCAATTGTTGTGGCATTCACCTAAAATATTGGTTAGATTTATCAGTGGAGATAAAATACATGTTGACAAATCATACTTTATATTTATTGCCTTCTCTTTGTCATTTTTAAGTTAGTGAAAACACTGAATATAGCAAGGGAATCTCTCTACCGGCATGGCTTACAGAGGGAGCAACTAGAGCTATTCTCTTCGGAAATGTATAGTACATGTTACAAACAATGGTGGAAATCTGCCAGATTTGAAGGATAAAAGGATTGAGTATGCATAGAAAATGACAACTGAGGGAAATAAGAAGAGTAAGTGCATGTATATTATTTTGACGTAGTATTAATGAAAGATAAATAGGGAGGTCTCTGTCCATTGTTTTGTTGGTTCATCTTCAGAGACCCTTGTTGTTTTTTTCATTCTTTGCTAATATTGGTTTTTGTTATTTTAATATGTTGTTAGCCTCCCAGAATCATATTTGCAAGATCAGTGGCCATATAAATCTATTTACCGTAAATCAATAAATAAATGCCCTTCACTGAAAATGGAAATTGTGTAGCTATAAGCATCAGGGTCAGTAGGTAAGGGAGGCAAATTATGAAATGTGTATCACTAGCTTATGATGCAAACCACACAACTTACATACTTGTATCCAATGTGGTTTGGAGGTACAAAAGGCCTGGGTTTGCAGCATGACGTTTTGACACACATTGCATAATTGTCTCATCTCATGTGTGTACCAGATACCTATGCACACCTTTTCCCATGCTTAAACCACTCAGAGAATACAGTTAAGTGAGGATTGTTTTGTTGTTTTAATCTGCGCTCAGTCGTTACCGACTCTGCAGTGACTGCTTGGACGAGTCCTTGCAGTTTTCAAGGCAAGGTGTTTC